GGGGGGGGCAAAATTTATTATGGTTTATAATGGCAAATGATACTTTGAATTACATGTTAATAACTTGATTGGAATTATAACCTTGAGTTGACTGTTTGATACTTTGAAAATTTTGAGCCAGCCCTACCCCCAAGGGCTGTAGGGTGTGGCTTAAAGGAGTCAGAGCTGCTAGTTTCAAATACTTTTAGTCTGAAATCTGTATGCTAGATATTGAGTAAGGTGGTTTTATTGTTTTTTGTCACTTTGAATAATATGTCTGTTCATGTTAGTAAAAAAAATCAACTCTCTGTATAAATATATCAGGTGACCGTTAAGGCCCATGGGCCTCTTGTTTCTTATGCTGCAAAAATATGTTGCCTTCAAGCTGTATTTCGAGAAGATTATGAGAGAAAGAGTGCAGCTAATAAAAGAGGCTATAAAAATATTGATACCCAATGTATTATATATAGTTTGTTAGAAATTGTATTTCAGGACTATGGTCTGCTTTGACTTTAATTAAATGTTCATTGTGTTTTTCTGACATCACTCAATTGTGTTAACATCGCCCTCTGGGATTCGTACACTGTGTATATTTGTGTAGGTATGGAGGTGGTGCCCACTGATGGTGGCCGTTATGATGTGTTCATGTCAAATCGTACGCGGAAGGCTGTGTATTGGGAGGAGGACCCCAGTCCGGTGGTGAGGAGTTCCTGGTTTTACAAGCGAGAGGGTGATAATCGCTATGTTCCATATGAGGAACAGATTGCTCAGAGACTTGAGGTAAATTATATCTTAGAATGTCCTTAATTGTCCATCATCTATCAGTTAGGTTAAAGATTGATTTTTTTCAAAACTTTTGAAATGACTACTCATCTTTCATAGCATTTGCTTCAAACTATTAATAAATTAAAGGAACAATTTTCAAAATAAAAGAATACCAACTGCGCATTTAATCTCAGTCTTGAAGGATTAATCATGATATGATACATATGTTTTGTTGTATACCTGTAGAATGAGTACCAGAATGATATAATACATGTGTTTTGTTGTATACCAATAAAATGAGTACCAGAATGATATGATACATGTGTTTTGTTGTATACCTGTAGAATGAGTACCAGAATGATATAAAACATGTGTTTTGTTGTATACCTGTAGAATGAGTACCAGAATAATATGATACATGTGTTTTGTTGTATACCTGTAGAATGAGTACCAGAATGCAATGACGAATAATGCATGGCATAAGAGGTTAGAATTCCCTGGAGGAGAGACCGTTGTGATGCACAATCAAAATGTGATGGTCCACTTTCAGCCGTCCTCTCAGCCAGACGAGTGGGGCACGGTACAGGTGGGTAGACTGGAGCATATTCTCACTCCTTATTTCCTCATTTGCAGCAGTAGCATTTTTTTTCTTGGTAGATCTACTTTCTTGTTGATCCATTTGTGAATTCAAGTCTCTCCAAATTTTCATCATGATAAGATCAAGTTCAACATATCTTGAAATTTTCCAGTATTAGTATTTCTGTTGGCACAAACAATATTTGTCTACAAGTATTTTCTTTTGACACATAAATACCTATTTATATTTATATTCACTGTATGAATACTACCTTTCTAAATAGAAAATGGAATCATGTTAACCTGTATGAACCAGACTTCTAGCTTGGTCTACTATAGACAAATGTTATCTTCGTAAACAAAACATGGAAATATAAAAACCTGTCTAGACCAGACCCTGACCTATGTCCACTGTATGCATATTACCTGTCTAAACAGAACCTGCAAGACTATGATCTAAAACCTGTTTCTGAATACATACATACCTGCTAACCCATGATTCTGGTTAGTGTATAAAATGTACATGAAGCTAGCTTCTGATCCTGGTTAGGGTATACATGTACATTAGCTTAGCTGCTGATGCTGTATACTTGTAGCTTAGTTACCTGTAAATTGATAGATTGTTAACAGCTTGTAGCATAGTAACATATACACTGGCTTAAATAGCTTGTTGGCTATACATACTCAGGCATCCAGGATATTGTTTGACTGTTTTCATTACGTATATAGCTATCGATTAGTATAGACATTTAGCTGTGATATCAACAATTTGGCTTTCCTCTACAGCATGGTATTGGTGGCTTATAATATAGTGTGAAAAATCCCAACAATGTATACCCGACACCTACAGTATTAACAAAAATAAAAACACAGTGTATACCCGACACCTACAGTATTAACAAAAATAAAAACACAGTGTATACCCAGACACTTACAGTATTAACAAAAATAAAAACACTGTATACCCGACACCTACAGTATTAACAAAAATAAAAACACAGTGTATACCCCGACACTTACAGTATTAACAAAAATAACAACACAGTGTATACCCCGACACCTACAATATTAACAAAAATAAAAACACTGTGTATACCCAGACACTTACAGTATTAACAAAAATAAAAACACAGTGTATACCCGACACTTACAGTATTAACAAAAATAAAAACACAGTGTATACCCAGACACTTACAGTATTAACAAAAATAAAAATTTAGATGTATAACCCAACAACTTTAACATTTTTTGGTGTTTTTATATGTTATGCAAGTCATTCATTTTATTTATGAATAGGAAAATAGTATTGACAATATGGTATTGACAATATGCACATAACAAAATAATAACAGATGACAGATGACAACTAGCTTTATCAGATTGTTATGATATATTTACAATGCAAGTAGCATAATTAACCAGTAACTATACTCTAGTAATAATAAAAAATGAGTTTAATCAACCAAATTTAATAAATAAGAAATTTGTAAGGAGTCTTAATTTTACTTATTCATGATTTCTGTTCAGTTACTCACATATGGCATAGGAGGACAGGTACTCATTAACTTGCCCTATATTTATAAACCCAGTTACACTGATTCAGCAGGAAATGTTTAATGGTTCTGTGATTTCTTCCCAGCTTCTGTCATTCTTGAGAGTAGCTTCATAATTTGCTTCTCCGTTTTGTTCTCAATTGGCTGGACAATTTTTGTTTAATGTACACATTGTTTAGCTAGCTTTCAAATCCTGCTCACGGTGCACTAATACATACACGTTCAACTGTTCCCGTGTTGTTCTAAAAACAGGGATGTTTTCTGAACCTTTTCAAAGGGCATGCAATCTTGAGAAATGGAAACAGGATTGGAAAATTGGGAAATACTCATCAAATTTTAACTCTGATCTGTTCTTATTTGTAAAACGTAACAGGCGAAGTAAGTTTTTCTTAAAATGAAATAAAAAAATCACTATGATTTGGGAAGTGAAATCAGAATGAAGAAAAACCTAAGGGGAACGTTAGGTTATTGTATTTGAATTGTTATATGTATTAGTAACTTGGGATCACTAGCTGCATGCCTGTTTTAATTAGTAATAGTGAGCTGTAGATTCAGAGTGAATGTTTCCCCATTTCCTGATTGGTCATGTTCAGCTTACGGTCAGCAGTAGATTCAGAGTGAATGTTTCCCCATTTCCTGATTGGTCATGGTCAGCTTACGGTCAGCAGTAGATTTAGCATGGACAGTGACTAGGACTTACACTGGTTTTAATTTTTCCTGTAAACAAATTTTCTTATGAAACTTCGTAGATGTTTTTGTCATGACTAGGAAACTTCGTAGATGTTTTTGTCATAACTAGGAAACTTCGTAGATGTTTTTGTCAAGACTAGGAAACTTCGTAGATGTTTTTGTCATGACTAGGAAACTTCGTAGATGTTTTTGTCAAGACTAGGAAAATTTGTAGATGTTTTTGTCATGACTAGGAAACTTCATAGATGTTTTTGTCATGACTAGGAAGCATGTCAATTAACACTCTAGGTCTGTACGTATAACCTAAAAGTTAGTAAAGGTCAAGGTCAAAGTTGATGCTTCGTGCAAGTTCATTTTAATAATCAGCATGGATAGAACCTGTCATTCAATACCACTGATACCTGTTTTCTTACAATCAGAAAGCATGTATGATATCATTTTATGTTCAAAGAGAATATAGACTCGGTAAACTTCTTGTAAGATGTTACTATGGGTGTATTTGCATTAGTAAGCACAGATTGTATTACAAAAGCAATGGGGGAGGCAGATGTGGGAATTTTAGTAGATCCAAGCTTATTATTCTGTTCATTAAGCACCATGTGAAATATCAATATAGATGCTTCCCTATATAACATAACATGTATCTCCTTTCCAAAACAGCTCCATAATCCTATACCAAGCAATAATCATGCATCTAGGATAAAGTGATTTGTCTTTTCCACCACAGCGTTTGTAGTTCTGAAAGGCCAAGGTTTTTCATGTGTCAAGTTTATAGGGTGATAAATTGAGTTGTGCCAGCATTAGTTTCCTGACAACTATTTCAAAGTCCTGAATGATGCGGAGTAGTAATGGAAGATCTGCAGCAACATCAGCTAAAATCAGAGATCCTGATGTATTTTTCCGCTGTTGATATGACATCATTTTCATTGTTGACTTGCTCATATTTGCAAGGGTAACCTACAAAACAAATAATGAAATATATGAGAGAAAACAATTGCTTACATTAGGTAGATGCATTAAGTCCATCGTCAGTAGAAATCAGATGAAATTGATATTATAATAGGATTGTAGTTTGAAGACTGATGAAATGACTTCCTGTTTTTGATGACCTACTGATGTAATGACTTCCCGTTTTTGATGACCTACTGATGTAATGACTTCCCGTTTTTGATGACCTACTGATGCAATGACTTCCCGTTTTTGATGACCTACTCATGAAATAACTTCCTGTTTTTGATGACCTACTGATGCAATGACTTCCCGTTTTTGATGACCTACTGATGCAATGACTTCCCGTTTTTGATGACCTACTGATGCAATGACTTCCCATTTTTGATGACCTACTGATGTAATGACTTCCCGTTTTTGATGACCTACTGATGTAATGACTTCCCATCTTTGATGACCTACTGATGTAATGACTTCCCTTTTTGATGACCTACTGATGCAATGACTTCCCGTTTTTGATGACCTACGTATACTGATGCAATGACTTCCCGTTTTTGATGACCTACTGATGTAATGACTTCCCGTTTTCTCTATTGAAGGGTCCTCCTCCTCCTCTTATGGTGAGTTCTGGTGTCCTGCTTTAGTGCCGCTAGTCTTTTACCCAGTCATGTGTGGCAGTACCAGCATGGTCACACTTCACTGATTTTGTCTATTTGAAATACAATTTATCTATATTCTAAACAGAAATCTGCTTTCTTCCATATTTTTTTTTTATGTGCTTTGACACCCCTTATCTTTGTGATTTTTCATAATTCTGGCTTTGATTCTTTTAAGCACTAGTATAAATGTTTTCTATAGTTGTTTAGTTATGACTTACGAAAAAATATATTTGTAAACTATGAATTTATCGATCCACATAATAAATACTTACACAGCTTTGCACATGAGATTTTTCTGTTTGAACCTTGATGAAAGTTTAAAAAAAATATAACATTGTGAAAATTGACCTGAAATCATAGAAGTATGGAGTTAGAATTCGAGTGTGCTTTGTTCTGGGACTATTTTACACTTAACATTGGTGGAGTATCCTTTCCCTCATTCCACACATGTGATTAATTCATGTTTCTCCCAGACATTATAAATCAAATCAAATCTTATATTATGCTAGACTAGCAGTGCAAACCTCTGTTTAAAGTTTACATGTGTACAAATCTCAGTCCATTTCACTAGGAGATCAGTCTCGCAGTATGGGGGCATAACATGTTATATACACACAAAGTATATGTTCTGGTGAATTGAATTTCACTTGTTTGCTGCAGATATAACTTTGTATTGCGCCTTATTTCACTCACAGCATATGCATGAGCCTACAGCTTTTCTAACTTTTATTAGCTCTGATGTTTATTAATGTCATAAAACCAGTTTGTTTGTGTGCACAATGTAAATATCTAATCTAGTATTGATTTGTAGCTGCTATCTCTCTAATGTCACTTATCAGTAGATTGTAGAAGTTAGCCAGCTTAATTGTCAATGTCACTTACCAATCCATTGTAGCAGTTAGCTGGCTTAATTGTCAATGTCCCTTAGCAATCCATTGTAGCAGTTAGCTGCCTTAATTGTCAATGTCCCTTAGCAATCCATTGTAGCAGTTAGCTAGCTTAATTGTCAATGTCCCTTCACAGTCCATTGTAGCAGTTAGCTGGCTTAATTGTCAATGGCCCTTAACAATCCATTGTAGCAGTTAGCTGGCTTAATTGTCAATGTAACCTACCAATGCATTGTAGCAGTTAGCTGGCTTAATTGTCAATGTCCCTCAACAATCAATCCATTGTAGCAGTTAGCTAGCTTAATTGTCAATGTCCCTCAACAATCAATCCATTGTAGCAGTTAGCTAGCTTAATTGGCAATGTCCCTTAACAATCAATCCATTGTAGCAGTTAGCTGGCTTAATTGTCAATGTCCCTTAACAATCCATTGTAGCAGTTAGCTGGCTTCATTGTCAATGTCCCTTAACAGTCCATTGTAGCAGTTAGCTGAATTAATTGTCAATGTCCCTTAACAATCCATTGTAGCAGTTAGCTGGCTTAATTGTCAATGTAACTTACCAATGCATTGTAGCAGTTAGCTGGCTTAATTGTCAATGTCCCTTAACAATCCATCGTAGCAGTTAGCTGGCTTAATTGTCAATGTCACTTACCAATGCATTGTAGAAGATAGCTTAGTTTAGCTCAATTGTCAATGTAAATAACCGATGCATTGTAGTTACCAGCTTAATTATCAATATTATTTAGTAAAGTATTGTAGGAGTTAGCTAACTTAATTGTCAATTACGTGTACTTAACTAAGCTTTGTAGAAGTTACCTAGCTGATTTGTTACCACTTTCCAATGCATTGTAGAAGTCAGATAGCTCTATTTTCAATGTTATTACGTGTTAGGTATTTCTATGTATTGCAGTGACTTAACTCCTGTATGGCTGTTACTTACTGGTGTTTAGGCTAGCTGGCTGGCTGGTCAGCATTCTTCACCGATGAATAGTAGCTGTAAGCTAGTATGTCCATGTCATTACCAATGTATTGTAGCTGTAAACTAGTATGTCCATGTCGATACCAATGTATTGTAGCTGTAAGCTAGTATGTCCATGTCATTACCAATGAATAGTAGCTGTTTGCTGGTTGTGCAGTGTCCTGTGTAGTGGTATTTATGATAAAATACATAATGTATCATTGTCTTTCTGTTATTGAATATGAGCTATGGGGCAATCAATTCTTAACTATGTTGCACACAATTGTATACCCACAAATTCTTTCCAGGATCAAAACCATAAAAGTTTGACCCCCATTTTTCAGGTGTTGTACAGTACATAAACAATGTATATCATTTAGCTGTATATGTACATGCACAGAAGCGTTTCTCACCTGAACCTAACCCCTGTCCTGAACTGCCCACAACACACAGGTGTACTTTTCATTTGAATAATTCAAAAAATAGGACCCAAACAAAATAAAATGAGGCCACTTTAAATGGGATTTTTAATTGTCATAAAAAAGTAAATGGACTAATGAAGGTGTAAAGATCTATACTAACTATCTCTGGTATTTCAGTCAAAGGCTTGTTTTATATGATAATCATAATATTTCTGTAGTATTGACATGTAGATGTTTTTGTATGATAATTATAATATTTCTGTAGTATTGACATGTAGATGTTTTTGTATGATAATTATAATATTTCTGTAGTATTGACATGTAGATGTTTTTGTATGATAATTATAATATTTCTGTAGTATTGACATGTAGATGTTTTTGTATGATAATTATAATATTTCCGTAGTATTGACATGTAGATGTTTTGTATGATAATTATAATATTTCTGTAGTATTGACATGTAGATGTTTTTGTATGATAATTATAATATTTCTGTAGTATTGACATGTAGATGTTTTTGTATGATAATTATAATATTTCTGTAGTATTGACATGTAGATTGCTGTGGGTTTGCTTTTATTATACTACCGTCAAATATGACGGTAGTATTACGGTATGGCGTTGTCCATCCGTCCGTCCGTCTGCCTTAAACTTTGTTTGTCCGGAGATCTCCTCCTACATTTTTCGACCAATCTATTTGAAACTTGGTATACATTATAATCATGATATGTAGTTGTGTCTTCCTTTAAAAGAATTTTGATTCAACAATTTTTCCAAAAGTTATTGCCCTTTGTTCATTTCAGTATTTGATTTTTTCCGGCAATCTCCTCCTACATTTTTCAACAGATCTCTTTAAAACTTGGTATACTTTATAATCATGATATGAAGTTGTGTCTCCCTTAAAAGAATTTTGTTTCGACGATATTTGCAAAATTTATTGCCTTTTGTTCATTTCAGTATTTGATTTTTTGTCCGAAGATTATCTCCTACATTTTTTATAAAGAAATTCATGTAAACAGGATGATGAATTGTAAATCAGAACTGATATAAGTAAATTCGAAACAGTCACTACACAGACATCTTTGTCAGAGGAGTCACACTTATTGTAAATAACTATTCAAAATGGTTAAAGAAAAAATAAATAAATGGAATGGCCATTGAAAACAACCTATCAAAATGGTCATAGAAAATATGTCAACCAATCAGAAAAGTCTTAGAAAACAATCAATCTGATTGGTCATTGAAAATAACCAATCAAGATGTTCATAGAAATCGACCAATCAGAATGGTCACAAAATTACCACATCAACATATTTTTGATATTTAACCTCCTGTTGGAAGTTCAGCTAACTTTTCACCTGTAAAATAGCTAGGTAAGCTGACTGTGTACAGTGTAGTTAAGCTTTGTCATCTTACATCTGTAGGAGGAAGGCATGAGACCCAGAGTGGTGAAGAGAGGTGTAGAGGACTTTGAGAGTATACAGGAGGGTAAGTATAAACTCTGTTGGCGCTAAAGGTGATGATGTTAATTGACTTGTTTCACACAATATTTGTAATTGTATCTTCTGTTTGGTTAAAGTTGCTTGGCAATTATTTTTTTTATCAGAAATGAATGAATATTCTTTAACTATGTACATGAAAGTGTTGCCCGTCTTTTAAAATTCAATTTTAAGGAATAGTCATGATTATTTTTATGTATATGGCGAAACAGTTTTTGTCCATAAACTGCTCATAAGATTTATGCTAGGCGCACAGAGATTTTCAGTATATACCATACAACCCCCAAAATAATCTTGGCTTTTCCTAATACATGTAATATATATATATATGTTTTTAAGAAATTCTATATATTGTATGTAATCATGTGATTTAACCTGAACTGCTCTTACTAATTATCATGTTCTATTGCAAGTTGCCCCATATTTCAAATACAGTGAAAAAGATGGTCCGTGATGACTACTTATGTATTAATTGTTTGTGTGACAGGGGAGCCTAATCAATATAATTGTTTGTGTGACAGGGGAGCCTAATCAATATAATTGTTTGTGTGACAGGGGAGCCTAATCAATATAATTGTTTGTGTGACAGGGGAGCCTAATCAATATAATTGTTTGTGTGACAGGGGAGCCTAATCAATATAATTGTTTGTGTGACAGGGGAGCCTAATCAATATAATTGTTTGTGTGACAGGGGAGCCTAATCAATATAATTGTTTGTGTGACAGGGGAGCCTAATCAATATAATTGTTTGTGTGACAGGGGAGCCTAATCAATATAATTGTTTGTGTGACAGGGGAGCCTAATCAATATAATTGTTTGTGTGACAGGGGAGCCTAATCAATATAATTGTTTGTGTGACAGGGGAGCCTAATCAATATAATTGTTTGTGTGACAGGGGAGCCTAATCAATATAATTGTTTGTGTGACAGGGGAGCCTAATCAATATAATTGTTTGTGTGACAGGGGAGCCTAATCAATATAATTGTTTGTGTGACAGGGGAGCCTAATCAATATAATTGTTTGTGTGACAGGGGAGCCTAATCAATATAATTGTTTGTGTGACAGGGGAGCCTAATCAATATAATTGTTTGTGTGACAGGGGAGCCTAATCAATATAATTGTTTGTGTGACAGGGGAGCCTAATCAATATAATTGTTTGTGTGACAGGGGAGCCTAATCAATATAATTGTTTGTGTGACAGGGGAGCCTAATCAATATAATTGTTTGTGTGACAGGGGAGCCTAATCAATATAATTGTTTGTGTGACAGGGGAGCCTAATCAATATAATTGTTTGTGTGACAGGGGAGCCTAATCAATATAATTGTTTGTGTGACAGGGGAGCCTAATCAATATAATTGTTTGTGTGACAGGGGAGCCTAATCAATATAATTGTTTGTGTGACAGGGGAGCCTAATCAATATAATTGTTTGTGTGACAGGGGAGCCTAATCAATATAATTGTTTGTGTGACAGGGGAGCCTAATCAATATAATTGTTTGTGTGACAGGGGAGCCTAATCAATATAATTGTTTGTGTGACAGGGGAGCCTAATCAATATAATTGTTTGTGTGACAGGGGAGCCTAATCAATATAATTGTTTGTGTGACAGGGGAGCCTAATCAATATAATTGTTTGTGTGACAGGGGAGCCTAATCAATATAATTGTTTGTGTGACAGGGGAGCCTAATCAATATAATTGTTTGTGTGACAGGGGAGCCTAATCAATATAATTGTTTGTGTGACAGGGGAGCCTAATCAATATAATTGTTTGTGTGACAGGGGAGCCTAATCAATATAATTGTTTGTGTGACAGGGGAGCCTAATCAATATAATTGTTTGTGTGACAGGGGAGCCTAATCAATATAATTGTTTGTGTGACAGGGGAGCCTAATCAATATAATTGTTTGTGTGACAGGGGAGCCTAATCAATATAATTGTTTGTGTGACAGGGGAGCCTAATCAATATAATTGTTTGTGTGACAGGGGAGCCTAATCAATATAATTGTTTGTGTGACAGGGGAGCCTAATCAATATAATTGTTTGTGTGACAGGGGAGCCTAATCAATATAATTGTTTGTGTGACAGGGGAGCCTAATCAATATAATTGTTTGTGTGACAGGGGAGCCTAATCAATATAATTGTTTGTGTGACAGGGGAGCCTAATCAATATAATTGTTTGTGTGACAGGGGAGCCTAATCAATATAATTGTTTGTGTGACAGGGGAGCCTAATCAATATAATTGTTTGTGTGACAGGGGAGCCTAATCAATATAATTGTTTGTGTGACAGGGGAGCCTAATCAATATAATTGTTTGTGTGACAGGGGAGCCTAATCAATATAATTGTTTGTGTGACAGGGGAGCCTAATCAATATAATTGTTTGTGTGACAGGGGAGCCTAATCAATATAATTGTTTGTGTGACAGGGGAGCCTAATCAATATAATTGTTTGTGTGACAGGGGAGCCTAATCAATATAATTGTTTGTGTGACAGGGGAGCCTAATCAATATAATTGTTTGTGTGACAGGGGAGCCTAATCAATATAATTGTTTGTGTGACAGGGGAGCCTAATCAATATAATTGTTTGTGTGACAGGGGAGCCTAATCAATATAATTGTTTGTGTGACAGGGGAGCCTAATCAATATAATTGTTTGTGTGACAGGGGAGCCTAATCAATATAATTGTTTGTGTGACAGGGGAGCCTAATCAATATAATTGTTTGTGTGACAGGGGAGCCTAATCAATATAATTGTTTGTGTGACAGGGGAGCCTAATCAATATAATTGTTTGTGTGACAGGGGAGCCTAATCAATATAATTGTTTGTGTGACAGGGGAGCCTAATCAATATAATTGTTTGTGTGACAGGGGAGCCTAATCAATATAATTGTTTGTGTGACAGGGGAGCCTAATCAATATAATTGTTTGTGTGACAGGGGAGCCTAATCAATATAATTGTTTGTGTGACAGGGGAGCCTAATCAATATAATTGTTTGTGTGACAGGGGAGCCTAATCAATATAATTGTTTGTGTGACAGGGGAGCCTAATCAATATAATTGTTTGTGTGACAGGGGAGCCTAATCAATATAATTGTTTGTGTGACAGGGGAGCCTAATCAATATAATTGTTTGTGTGACAGGGGAGCCTAATCAATATAATTGTTTGTGTGACAGGGGAGCCTAATCAATATAATTGTTTGTGTGACAGGGGAGCCTAATCAATATAATTGTTTGTGTGACAGGGGAGCCTAATCAATATAATTGTTTGTGTGACAGGGGAGCCTAATCAATATAATTGTTTGTGTGACAGGGGAGCCTAATCAATATAATTGTTTGTGTGACAGGGGAGCCTAATCAATATAATTGTTTGTGTGACAGGGGAGCCTAATCAATATAATTGTTTGTGTGACAGGGGAGCCTAATCAATATAATTGTTTGTGTGACAGGGGAGCCTAATCAATATAATTGTTTGTGTGACAGGGGAGCCTAATCAATATAATTGTTTGTGTGACAGGGGAGCCTAATCAATATAATTGTTTGTGTGACAGGGGAGCCTAATCAATATAATTGTTTGTGTGACAGGGGAGCCTAATCAATATAATTGTTTGTGTGACAGGGGAGCCTAATCAATATAATTGTTTGTGTGACAGGGGAGCCTAATCAATATAATTGTTTGTGTGACAGGGGAGCCTAATCAATATAATTGTTTGTGTGACAGGGGAGCCTAATCAATATAATTGTTTGTGTGACAGGGGAGCCTAATCAATATAATTGTTTGTGTGACAGGGGAGCCTAATCAATATAATTGTTTGTGTGACAGGGGAGCCTAATCAATATAATTGTTTGTGTGACAGGGGAGCCTAATCAATATAATTGTTTGTGTGACAGGGGAGCCTAATCAATATAATTGTTTGTGTGACAGGGGAGCCTAATCAATATAATTGTTTGTGTGACAGGGGAGCCTAATCAATATAATTGTTTGTGTGACAGGGGAGCCTAATCAATATAATTGTTTGTGTGACAGGGGAGCCTAATCAATATAATTGTTTGTGTGACAGGGGAGCCTAATCAATATAATTGTTTGTGTGACAGGGGAGCCTAATCAATATAATTGTTTGTGTGACAGGGGAGCCTAATCAATATAATTGTTTGTGTGACAGGGGAGCCTAATCAATATAATTGTTTGTGTGACAGGGGAGCCTAATCAATATAATTGTTTGTGTGACAGGGGAGCCTAATCAATATAATTGTTTGTGTGACAGGGGAGCCTAATCAATATAATTGTTTGTGTGACAGGGGAGCCTAATCAATATAATTGTTTGTGTGACAGGGGAGCCTAATCAATATAATTGTTTGTGTGACAGGGGAGCCTAATCAATATAATTGTTTGTGTGACAGGGGAGCCTAATCAATATAATTGTTTGTGTGACAGGGGAGCCTAATCAATATAATTGTTTGTGTGACAGGGGAGCCTAATCAATATAATTGTTTGTGTGACAGGGGAGCCTAATCAATATAATTGTTTGTGTGACAGGGGAGCCTAATCAATATAATTGTTTGTGTGACAGGGGAGCCTAATCAATATAATTGTTTGTGTGACAGGGGAGCCTAATCAATATAATTGTTTGTGTGACAGGGGAGCCTAATCAATATAATTGTTTGTGTGACAGGGGAGCCTAATCAATATAATTGTTTGTGTGACAGGGGAGCCTAATCAATATAATTGTTTGTGTGACAGGGGAGCCTAATCAATATAATTGTTTGTGTGACAGGGGAGCCTAATCAATATAATTGTTTGTGTGACAGGGGAGCCTAATCAATATAATTGTTTGTGTGACAGGGGAGCCTAATCAATATAATTGTTTGTGTGACAGGGGAGCCTAATCAATATAATTGTTTGTGTGACAGGGGAGCCTAATCAATATAATTGTTTGTGTGACAGGGGAGCCTAATCAATATAATTGTTTGTGTGACAGGGGAGCCTAATCAATATAATTGTTTGTGTGACAGGGGAGCCTAATCAATATAATTGTTTGTGTGACAGGGGAGCCTAATCAATATAATTGTTTGTGTGACAGGGGAGCCTAATCAAGTTGATCATCTGGTGTTTATGGTCCATGGCATCGGATCTTTCTGCGACGTCAAGTTCAGGAATATAGTTGAGTGTGGTAAGTATAAATTGTGTACTTGTCTTAGTGAATGGAGCCAAGCACTTGAGGGGCAAACTAGTAAAGTTTCAGGAAATATTAATTTTAGATGAAAAAATTCACAATTTGGCATTGAAGGTAGGAGACCTAGGTCCTCAGTTTTCTTAATTTTATAATTCGTGTCTATGAATGTGGACCTTTGTTAGACTATAACTTAAAACTGCACCCCCTTACCCTGAAAAAGGTGTTTTTACAAGAGATGACTCAGTAATTCATTGGGTTTCTACTGAAAAACTCCTAGAAGTAATGATTTATCAATATTTTTCATTCAAGTTAGTTATAGATTTTTTTACCTGTTTACCTGTCTAGTTAAAATAATGTTATGGTTGTTTTAAAGTGGATGACTTCAGGTCAATATCCCTGAGCCTGCAGCAGTCCCATTTTAAGAGTCATGTAGATTCTAACCGCATTGGTCGAGTGGAGTTTCTACCTGTACACTGGCACTCCGCCTTACACGGCGACGCTACAGGTCTCGACAAGTAAGTCATCAAACAACACGGTAAACTCAGTGAGTCGACTTCCTGGTGTTCTGAAAATTCATTGAACAAGACATAGGGTTTGATCTGGTTTTTACCCAGAACATATTAATTAAACATATATTATATAATAGTACTGCCATTACTGGGGCCCATAGGTTGTACAAGAAAATGCAATGATTGTAATCATTATTTTGAAATTGGGCCTTGATAGAATACTGCTCATTGATTTAAAACAAAAGCATTTTCTCTGAAAGTATAAATGCATCGGGCACATGGCAGTGTTTTGAATACTCCAATGATATATCAAACTGTTTTTCTTTTCTTTTGTGAATAAATGTATAGATAACACTGAAAGAAAATTACTAGATGTAATGTAGCTCTGCACTGTAAATTAAAGAATGATTTCTATGTAGGTACTAAAATGACTACCCTGATTTTTCATGTTTATAATCATCAGTAAAATAGTATTTGAACTTTCTGTTTGAAAGGATGCTGAAGAAGATTACGTTACCGAGCACAGGCAAGCTAAGAAACTTCGTCAATGATACACTGATGGATATATTATTCTACACGAGTCCCACCTACTGTCAGGTACGTTCTGTGTTCCACACGAGTCCCACCTACTGTCAGGCACGTTATGTGTTCTACACGAGTACCACCTACTGTCAAGTACGTTCTGTGTTCTACAGGAGTCCCACCTACTGTCAGGTACGTTCTGTGTTCTTCACGAGTCCGACCTACTGTCAGGTACGTTCTGTTTTCTACACGAGTCCCACCTACTGTCAGGTCCGTTCTGTGTTCTACACGAGTCCCACCCACTGTCAGGTACGTTCTGTGTTCTACAGGAGTCCCACCTACTGTCAGGTACGTTCTGGGTTCTACACGAGTCCCACCTACTGTCAAGAACGTTCTGTGTTCTACAGGAGTCCCACCTACTGTCAGGTACGTTCTGTGTTCTTCACGAGTCCGACCTACTGTCAGGTACGTTCTGTTTTCTACACGAGTCCCACCTACTGTCAGGCAAGTTCTGTGTTCTACACGAGTACCACCTACTGTCAAGTACGTTCTGTGTTCTACACGAGTGCCACCTACTGTCAGGTACGTTCTGTGTTCCACACGAGTCCCACCTACTGTCAGGCACGTTCTGTGCTCTACACGAGTACCACCTACTGTCAGGTACGTTCTGTGTTCCACACGAGTCCCACCTACTGTCAGGCACGTTATGTGTTCTACACGAGTACCACCTACTGTCAGGTACGTTCTGTGTTCTTCACGAGTCCGACCTACTGTCAGGTACGTTCTGTGTTCCACACGAGTCCCACCTACTGTCAGGCACGTTATGTGTTCTACACGAGTACCACCTACTGTCAGGTACGTTCTGTGTTCCACACGAGTCCCACCTACTGTCAGGCACGTTCTGTGCTCTACACGAGTACCACCTACTGTCAGGTATGTTCTGTGTTCTAAACGAGTCCCACCTACTGTCAAGTACGTTCTGTGTTCTACACTAGTCCGACCTACTGTCAGGTACGTTCTGTGTTCTATACGAGTCCCACCTACTGTCAGGTACATTCTGTGTTCTACACGGGTCCTACCTACTGTCAGGTACATTCTGTGTTCTACACGAGTCCGACCCACTGGCAGGTACGTTCTGTGTTCTACACGAGTACCACCTACTGTCAGGTATGTTCTGTGTTCTACACGAGACCCACCTACTGTCAAGTACGTTCTGTGTTCTACACGAGTACGACCTACTGTCAGGTACGTTCTGTGTTCTTCACGAGTCCGACCTACTGTCAGGTACGTTCTGTGTTCTATACGAGTCCCACCTACTGTCAGGTACATTCTGTGTTCTACACGAGTCCGACCTACTGGCAGGTACTTTGGGTGTTCTACATGAGTCCCACCTACTGTCAGGAACGTTCTGTGTTCTACACGGGTCCTACCTACTGTCAGGTACATTCTGTGTTCTACACGAGTCCGACCCACTGGCAGGTACGTTCTGTGTTCTACACGAGTCCTACCTACTGTCAGGTACGTTCTGTGTTCCACACGAGTCCCACCTACTGTCAGGCACGTTATGTGTTCTACACGAGTACCACCTACTGTCAGGTACGTTCTGTGTTCTTCACGAGTCCGACCTACTGTCAGGTACGTTCTGTTTTCTACACGAGTCCCACCTACTGTCAGGCAAGTTCTGTGTTCTACACGAGTACCACCTACTGTCAAGTACGTTCTGTGTTCTACACTAGTACGACCTACTGTCAGGTACTTTCTGTGTTCTACACGAGTCCCACCTATTGTCAGGTACGGTCTGTGTTCTACACGGGTCCTACCTACTGTCAGGTACATTCTGTGTTCTACACGGGTCCTACCTACTGTCAGGTACGTTCTGTGTTCCACACGAGTCCCACCTACTGTCAGGCACGTTCTGTGTTCTACACGAGTCCCACCTACTGTCAGGTACGTTCTGTGTTCTACACGGGTCCTACCTACTGTCAGATACATTCTGTGTTCTACACGAGTCCGACCTACTGTCAGGTACTTTCTGTGTTCTACACGGGTCCGACCTACTGTCAGGCATGTTCTGTGTTCTACACGAGTCCGACCCACTGTCAGGTACGTTCTGTGTTCTACACGAGTCCCACCTACTGTCAGGTACGTTCTGTGTTCTACACGAGTCCCACCTACTGTCAGGTACGTTCTGTGTTCTACACGAGTCCCACCTACTGTCAGGTACGTTCTGTGTTCTACACGAGTCCCACCTACTGTCAGGTACGTTCTGTGTTCTACACGAGTCCCACCTACTGTCAGGTACGTTCTGTGTTCTACACGAGTCCCACCTACTGTCAGGTACGTTCTGTGTTCTACACGAGTCCCACCTACTGTCAGGTACGTTCTGTGTTCTACACGAGTCCCACCTACTGTCAGGTACGTTCTGTGTTCTACACGAGTCCCACCTACTGTCAGGTACGTTCTGTGTTCTACACGAGTCCCACCTACTGTCAGGTACGTTCTGTGTTCTACACGAGTCCCACCTACTGTCAGGTACGTTCTGTGTTCTACACGAGTCCCACCTACTGTCAGGTACGTTCTGTGTTCTACACGAGTCCCACCTACTGTCAGGTACGTTCTGTGTTCTACACGAGTCCCACCTACTGTCAGGTACGTTCTGTGTTCTACACGAGTCCCACCTACTGTCAGGTACGTTCTGTGTTCTACACGAGTCCCACCTACTGTCAGGTACGTTCTGTGTTCTACACGAGTCCCACCTACTGTCAGGTACGTTCTGTGTTCTACACGAGTCCCACCTACTGTCAGGTACGTTCTGTGTTCTACACGAGTCCCACCTACTGTCAGGTACGTTCTGTGTTCTACACGAGTCCCACCTACTGTCAGGTACGTTCTGTGTTCTACACGAGTCCCACCTACTGTCAGGTACGTTCTGTGTTCTACACGAGTCCCACCTACTGTCAGGTACGTTCTGTGTTCTACACGAGTCCCACCTACTGTCAGGTACGTTCTGTGTTCTACACGAGTCCCACCTACTGTCAGGTACGTTCTGTGTTCTACACGAGTCCCACCTACTGTCAGGTACGTTCTGTGTTCTACACGAGTCCCACCTACTGTCAGGTACGTTCTGTGTTCTACACGAGTCCCACCTACTGTCAGGTACGTTCTGTGTTCTACACGAGTCCCACCTACTGTCAGGTACGTTCTGTGTTCTACACGAGTCCCACCTACTGTCAGGTACGTTCTGTGTTCTACACGAGTCCCACCTACTGTCAGGTACGTTCTGTGTTCTACACGAGTCCCACCTACTGTCAGGTACGTTCTGTGTTCTACACGAGTCCCACCTACTGTCAGGTACGTTCTGTGTTCTACACGAGTCCCACCTACTGTCAGGTACGTTCTGTGTTCTACACGAGTCCCACCTACTGTCAGGTACGTTCTGTGTTCTACACGAGTCCCACCTACTGTCAGGTACGTTCTGTGTTCTACACGAGTCCCACCTACTGTCAGGTACGTTCTGTGTTCTACACGAGTCCCACCTACTGTCAGGTACGTTCTGTGTTCTACACGAGTCCCACCTACTGTCAGGTACGTTCTGTGTTCTACACGAGTCCCACCTACTGTCAGGTACGTTCTGTGTTCTACACGAGTCCCACCTACTGTCAGGTACGTTCTGTGTTCTACACGAGTCCGACCTACTGTCAGGTACGTTCTGTGTTCTACACGAGTCCCACCTACTGTCAGGTACGTTCTGTGTTCTACACGAGTACGACCTACTGTCAGGTACATTCTGTGTTCTACACGAGTCCCACCTACTGTCAGGTACGTTCTGTGTTCTACACGAGTACCACCTACTGTCAGGTACGTTCTGTGTTCTACACGGGTCCCACCTACTGTCAGATACATTCTGTGTTCTACACAAGTCCCACCTACTGTCAGGTACGTTCTGTGTTCTACACGGGTCCCACCTACTGTCCGATATGTTCTGTGTTTCTAAAAACGTCCAGCATCTGCTTTGATAAGACTGTAATAGTCAATGATTTTGGACACAATCTTTGCTGTACAGGTTATATGTGACCTAATGAAGTTTTTGATTTGCTCTACAGATGATAGCGGAGACTGTTGGTGAAGAAATGAACAGACTCTATAATTTATTCCTCAGTAGGAATCCTCGCTTTCAGGGAACTGTAGGTGTAGCGGGACACAGCTTAGGTATGTAAAACTGTTTGGCTACAGGTGAAGTGTTTACAAGTATTTTTATGAAAGTAATGTCAACAGAGACTTATATACACTCCATGTCGATAGAAGTAATGACGGGTCTACAAACTTATTTATATGTATCATATTTCAACTACTATTTCATGTATGAAATTCATACTTGGTATGTAGGGACATCATGATAAGGTGCTCTGTCACATATCGAATAAGGTCATTGGTCCTCCTTTGACCATTAACCTCAAAGGCAAAAAACAAATGTGTTTCCAGAGCATTTTCCATTCCAAGTTTCTTGTCTGAACTTCAGACTTGGTAATACATATGTTGATACCTCATTAGAAGGGCTACGTCACATACCTAAATAAGGTCAGTATGACCTAATCTCATCCTTTGGCCTGAGATCTCTGACTTCTTTTGACCTCTATCTGAGATCTCAGACTTTTTTTGACCTCTATCTGAGATCTCTGACTTCTTTTGACCTTATCTGAGATCCCCGACTTTTAACCTCTATCTGAGATCTCCGACTTCTTTTGACCTCTATCTGAGATCTCCGACTTCTTTTGACCTCTATCAGAGATCTACGACTTTTGACCTATATCTGAGATCTCAGCCACTGTTTTCATGCACATGGACTGTAGAATTGTTTAAAAAAAGGACTGGCACCAAGGCATCACATCTGTGACTGTGTTTACAGCTGTTATACAAGAACACATATAGTGTGGGCATATTTATGAAGCCCATGCTTCAACTTCAATCTAGTAATGATATCTAATATAACAAATTAATATAATATATACATTATAATATAAATTATAATCATAAAACATTGAGATCAGTTAATAGTTGTTACAATAAATCTCCTGTTTAAAATTATTATTTTGGTGTAAATAATTCCAAGTGATCCTTTCTTTCAAAATATAAAATATAATAAATGAATCAAAAATATACTCTTTAATGAATCAAGCATTGTTAAGATCATTGAAACATTTTGTTGTTTGCAGGTTCTACAATCCTGTTTGATTTGCTGTTACACCAGAAAGATCCAAGTTCTCCTGACCTACAACCTCCGACCGACAGTGCCCCTCCCCAGGGGAACACTAGTCTGTCGACCAGCTTTACCGATGACAGTGTAAGGCCATTCATCATTTCTGTACTATTTTGTGAATGAGCCAATAAAGGGTGATGGTCTGTTTAAGTACAGTTATATCTGAATATTTACATTTACTCTGCATCCTTCCATTGTAATGCATTGCAAAGGCAAATGTTGTTATAAGACTATAACAACGTTTGCTATTGTTACATCATCAATCTCTATTGTGACGTCATCAATTTCATTGTTGTCAACACTTGATTTGCAGTTCAAAAACTGTTCGAAATAACTAAATACAGCTTAACTACTCTATTAAAAAGTAGATATAAATAATGAATGGTTTAGCAAATGTTGTTATGGTCCTATAACACACATTTCTATTGCTGACAAAATTACATTAAGCCTGCCTACCAGGCTTTATGTTTTATTTGAAATTTTAGTGGGTTTTCACACTGACATACATATTATTGTTCCACACTGACATACATATTATTGCTCCACACTGACATACATATCATTGTTCCACACTGACATCCATATTATTGTTCCACACTGACATACATATTACTGTTCCACACTGACATACATATTATTGTTCCACACTGAAATACATATTATTGTTCCACACTGACATACATAATATTGTTCCACACTGACATACATATTATTGTTACACACTGACATACATATTATTGTTCCACACTGACTGTTACACACTGACATACATATTATTGTTCCACACTGACACACATATTATTGTTCCACCCTGACATATATATTATTGTTCCACACTGACATAAATATCATTGTTCCACACTGACATACATATTATTGTTTCACACTGACATACATATCATTGTTCCACACTGGCATTCATATTATTGTTCCACACTGACATACATATTATTGTTACACACTGACATACATATTATTGTTCCACACTGAAATACATATTATTGTTCCACACTGACATACATAATATTGTTCCACACTGACATACATATTATTGTTACACACTGACATACATATTATTGTTCCACACTGAAATACATATTATTGTTCCACACTGACATACATAATATTGTTCCACACTGACATACATATTATTGTTCCACACTGACTGTTCCACACTGACACACATATTATTGTTCCACACTGACATATATATTATTGTTCCACACTGACATACATATCATTGTTCCACACTGACATACATTTTATTGTTCCACACTGAAATACATATTATTGTTCCACACTGTCATACATAGTATTGTTCCACACTAACTGTTACACACTGACATACATACTGTTGTTCCACACTGACATACATCTCATTGTTCCACACTGACATACATATTATTGTTCCACACTGACATACATAGTATTGTTCCACACTAACTGTTACACACTGACATACATATTGTTGTTCCACACTGACATACATATTATTGTTCCACACTGACATACTTATTATTGTTCCACACTTACACACATATCATTGTTCAACACTGACAAACATAATAATGTTCCACACTGACACAGATATCATTGTTCCACACTGGCATACATATTATTATTCGACACTGACATACATATTGTTGTTCCCCACTGACATACATATTATTGCTCCACACTGACATACATAATATTGTTCCACACTGAAATACATATCATTGTTCCACCCTAACAAACATATTATTGTTCCACATTGACATACATATTATTGTTACACACTGACATACATAGAATTGTTCAACACTAACTGTTACACACTGACATACAAATTATTGTTCAACACTGACAAACATAATAATGTTCCACACTGACACAGATATCATTGTTCCACACTGATATGTATGTCAGTGTGTAACAGCTAGTGTGGAACAATACTATGTATGTCAGTGTGTAACAGTCAGTGTGGAACAATATTATTGTTCCACACTGACATACATATTATTATTCCACACTGACATACATATTATTGTTCCACACTGACAAACATAATATTGTTCCACACTGACACACATATCATTGTTCCACACTGACATACATATTATTGTTCCACACTGACATACATATCATTGTTCCACACTGACATACATATTATTGTTCCACACTGACATACATATTATTGTTCCGTTGTTGATTGAATACCCATGTTTATTGGTTGTCTTCATTATCATTCGTGTATGTATACTTATCCCCTCAGCACTCAACATCTAGTCAAAACGATGGTTTGGAGGAAGAGGAGTCAGAAATTACCTTGGAGGAACTCCTGGCCAAGGTCGGACTACAGGACAAGCTCGAGGTATTCCATCAGGAGCAGATTGACATGGAGTCACTGGTGAGTATTTAGGGAGGAGAGGAGGGAGACAATGGGGTAGAGGTATTCCATCAGGAGCAGATTGACATGGAGTCACTGGTGAGTATTTAGGGAAGATAAGAGGAGACAATGGGGTGGAGGTATTCCATCAGGAGCAGATTGACATGGATTCACTGGTGAGTATTTAGGGAGGAGAGGAGGGAGACAATGGGGTAGAGATATTCCCTCAGGAACAGATTGACATGGAGTCACTGGTGAGTATTTAGGGAAGAGAAGAGGGTGACAATAGCGTAGAGGTATTCCATCAGGAACAGATAGACATGGAGTCACTGATGAGTATTTAGGGAGGAGAGGAGGGAGACAATGGGGTAGGGGTATTCCATCAGGAACAGATAGACATGGAGTCACTGGTGAGTATTTAGGGAGGAGAGGAGGGAGACAATGGGGTAGAGGTATTCCATCAGGAACAGATAGACATGGAGTCACTGGTGAGTATTTAGGGAGGAGAGGAGGGAGACAATGGGGTAGAGGTATTCCATCAGGAACAGATAGACATGGAGTCACTGGTGAGTATTTAGGGAGGAGAGGAGGGAGACAATGGGGTAGAGGTATTCCATCAGGAACAGATAGACATGGAGTCACTGGTGAGTATTTAGGGAGGAGAGGAGGGAGACAATGGGGTAGAGGTATTCCATCAGGAACAGATAGACATGGAGTCACTGGTGAGTATTTAGGGAGGAGAGGAGGGAGACAATGGGGTAGAGGTATTCCATCAGGAACAGATAGACATGGAGTCACTGGTGAGTATTTAGGGAGGAGAGGAGGGAGACAATGGGGTAGAGGTATTCCATCAGGAACAGATAGACATGGAGTCACTGGTGAGTATTTAGGGAGGAGAGGAGGGAGACAATGGGGTAGAGGTATTCCATCAGGAACAGATAGACATGGAGTCACTGGTGAGTATTTAGGGAGGAGAGGAGGGAGACAATGGGGTAGAGGTATTCCATCAGGAACAGATAGACATGGAGTCACTGGTGAGTATTTAGGGAGGAGAGGAGGGAGACAATGGGGTAGAGGTATTCCATCAGGAACAGATAGACATGGAGTCACTGGTGAGTATTTAGGGAGGAGAGGAGGGTGACAATGGAGTAGAGGTATTCCATCAGGAACAGATAGACATGGAGTCACTGGTAAGTATTTAGGGAGGAGAGGAGGGTGACAATGGGGTAGAGGTAATCTCACTGATAGTACATAATGCCAGTTTATGGTAATTGACATATATCGGTTAAAATGTGTAGTTATTTGCAAAGTTCAAACACTTTGCAGAAACATAATAATAAGCTTGTGAAAAATACATTGTGACACAGTGAATCATGACAAGTTAAGTTAACAAGTAGTCCTGGTTTGGAAATTCATCATCATTGAATTTCATGAATGATATAAGTCACTTTCTTGCTATAGTCATCTTAGAAAAAGAGTGTTGATCACGATTTCAAATTTCACTTAGCAATATTCTTAGAAAGTTTCAATAATGAATATATATCTGTCTCGCTAATTAATATGTCGCTCCACAAAAGCCACAAAAAAGTCATGAAAAACCCCATCATTAGCAAATGTTTTATTGTCAACTGGAGAGATTGACAATAGAGTGATGAAAAGATTATTTCTCTCTTAAAACCTCCTTCTTTTTATCTGACAATGAAACGTTGAATAAATAAGCAAACCAGCTTATAATTAATACACAAATGTAAAATACTGTCCTAACCTTTAACGTGAGATTTTGAGATATTTTGGTATAAAGTGTTACATTACAAGACTTTTTTGCTATTGTGTTAACTTCAGGGATTTAGATCATTCAGCAAGAACCATTCAACAATACTGGTGTAAAAATTATCCTGTACAGGATAAGATCTTTAGTAGATGTTAGTATTATCTGTTCATATCTGTTGTAGTATTTAAGTCTTAGCATTTTCTCAATTCTGATTGGCTGATGAGTCAGTGATTTTATTTCGTATATTTTATTGTTGTACAGAGCATGTGCAGTGAAGGAGACCTCAAGGACCTAGGACTTCCTATGGGACCCAGGAAAAAACTTCAAGGACTTCTCAAGGATGAGCAACACAGGAAGGTACTGCTCCTTGTTTATTTCAAGCACAGCAAATCTACCAACCCAAGATTGTATTGTACAGTTATCAGCCCAAATCTACCAGAGCTGAATTTGTACAGCTATGTTAGATCATGTAGCTCTGATATTTAATGTCAGGAACACCTGCTGTATTAACCATATGTGGATACACATGCAAATGTACAGTATTTTAAGTGTTTAGGAACCATCAGATTCTTTCAAACAATCAAAGTAACTATTAATGAAAATATAAAATGATGATTTTGTCTTGCAGCAAAGAAAATCTGAGCGAGTAGACAGGAAAGCAAAAGAAGACATAGAAAGGAGGATACGGGAACAACTGGAGGAAGAAATGAAGTCTCAGGCAGCTCAAAGTAAACCAAGGTAACAGTTGTCAGGCAGCTCAAAGTAAACAAAGGCAACATTTGTCCGACAGCTCAAAGTAGACCAAGGTAACAGTTGTCAGGCAGCTCAAAGTAAACCAACGTAACAGTTGTCAGGCAGCTCAAACTAAACCAAGGTAACATTTGTCAGGCAGCTCAAAGTAAACAAAGGCAACATTTGTCCGGCAGCTCAAAGTAAACCAAGGTTACAGTTGTCAGGCAGCACAAAGTAAACTAAGGTAACAGTTGTCGGGCAGCTCAAAGTAAACCAAGGTTACAGTTGTCAGGCAGCCCAAAGTAAACCAAGGTAACATTTGTCAGGCAGCTCGAAGTAAACCAAGGTAACAGTTGTCAGACAGCCCAAAGAAAACCAAGGTTACAGTTGTCAGGCAGACCAAAGTAAACTAAGGTAACAGTTGTCGGGCAGCTCACAGTAAACCAAGGTAACAGTTGTGAGACAGCTCAAAGTAAACCTAGGTAACAGTTGGCAGGCAGCTCAAAGTAAACCAAGGTAACAGTTGTCAGACAGCCCAAAGTAAACCAAGGTTACAGTTGTCAGGCAGCCCAAAGTAAACTAAGGTAACAGTTGTCGGGCAGCTCAAAGTAAACCAAGGTAACAGTTGTGAGACAGCCCAAAGTAAACCTAGGTAACAGTTGTCAGGCAGCCCAAAGTAAACTAAGGTAACAGTTGTCCGGCAGCTCAAAGTAAACCAAGGTAACAGTTGTGAGACAGCTCAAAGTAAACCTAGGTAACAGTTGTCAGGCAGCTCAAAGTAGACCAAGGTAACAGTTGTCAGGCAGCTCAAAGTAAACCAAGGCAACAGTTGTCAGGCAGCTCAAAGTAAACCAAGGTTACAGTTGTCAGGCAGCTTAAAGTAAACCAAGGTAACAGTTGTGAGACAGCCCAAAGTAAACCTAGGTAACAGTCGTCAGGCAGCTCAAAGTAAACCAAGGTAACAGTTGTCAGGCAGCTCAAAGTAAACAAAAGTAAAATTCTGTCTAGCTGCTCTATGAGTTCGAAAATGAAATTAGTATTTACAAGTTGAAAGTCATGAAATTTATATATATGCATATATCATATACTGTATCAATGAAATGTTTTGCATTTAACTCTTCAAACTGTTTGCCAAACGGATGTTTTTGCATTTTAAATACTGCTGATAGATATTTTTTAAAACAATTAAAACACAAAATGTCATGACTAAATACAGCCCGTTTGTTTTACAGTGCGACCCGCTCGGCCAGTATTAATGTGGAGTATATCCAGGGTGTGTCGGGGACAGGGCGACCAATGGTAACCTACCCACAGCTAGCATTTAAACCTAGCGCCTTCATCGCCATGGGATCTCCTATCGGCATATTTCTTTCAGCACGAGGTCTTGACAAAGTCGGTGAAGATTTTAGACTTCCAACATGTTCAAGATTATTCAACATTTTTCATCCAGTAAGTAAATTTAATTGTATCAAACAAGTGCAAAATAAAACATCACTTGATGTAAAAAATCAGTATTTGTCATTAAACTTCTCTCTTAAACAAGAATAGATGGGTTGTCAGGTGGATAGTGGATAGCATATTACTTGCCTTTTATCAAGACATCCTGGTTTGACTCCCCAATCAGACATCAAAAGGTATTGGGTCACCTGCCCGACCATGTGGATTGTCTCTGAGTACTCCATTATCTTCCTCATAAAAACCCTCTGTAGGCTTTTATCTAGGCTAACAAGTGATCAATATTACAAGTCGGAAAAACTTGTTCTATTTTTGTCGTAAATATGTCAGTTTATATAACATTATGTGTGTTCTGTATTTAATTTTATTTACATTTGGTTTTTATTTTTTTCCAGTTTGATCCTGTGGTGAGTAGTAAAGTTTCATCACATAGCAATTGTTTACAGGTTTTCTTATCACTATGTTTTCTTACAAAAGTTTTATTTCACTTGCTCAGGTAAAAAACTTATTTACGTATGTATACTGACATTTGGTCAACAATTTCATGTTTGTGCTAAATTGTTTTGCATACTTTTCACGTAATTTCATAATTTCTGTCTAAAAATTAAGTCAAAAATCTTAGGAGCAACAGAGAAATATGACAGTACCAGTATGTGGAGGTTTATTTTGTGATACAGAAAATGTGAGAGATTTTGCACACGATTTAATTGTGACACCTTGTATGCTGTGTTTTACAGGCCTACTAATTGTGACACCTTGTATGCTGTGTTTTACAGGCCTACTAATTGTGACACCTTGTATGCTGTGTTTTACAGGCCTACTAATTGTGACACCTTGTATGCTGTGTTTTACAGGCCTACTAATTGTGACACCTTGTATGCTGTGTTTTACAGGCCTACTAATTGTGACACCTTGTATGCTGTGTTTTACAGGCCTACTAATTGTGACACCTTGTATGCTGTGTTTTACAGGCCTACTAATTGTGACACCTTGTATGCTGTGTTTTACAGGCCTACTAATTGTGACACCTTGTATGCTGTGTTTTACAGGCCTACTAATTGTGACACCTTGTATGCTGTGTTTTACAGGCCTACTAATTGTGACACCTTGTATGCTGTGTTTTACAGGCCTACCGACTCGAGCCTTTAGTTACTTTGTCAGCTGTCAATATCAAACCGGTGCTTATACCACATCACAAAGGCCGCAAACGGCTTCACCTCGGTAAGTCAGGTAGAAAGTAGTAGATGTTTTTATCTAAATTACATGCTATGCCAGTGAATTATTGACACACAGATAAATATAATATGATATTATCCAGATCTGACTGTTAAATTTCCATGTTTTCCTCATGCTACATATGTGTTACCTGATAAAGGAGATGGAATATAGTGACATAAATGGGTGAGTATTAAGGAAGCAGGGTTCTACGATTTAAGATGAGCTAATAGGCAAACCAGTACAGAATGAATTAATAGCAAGGCATCACACATTTACAAACTGTGTGTTCTCTCATTCATTAGGGCTGTTTCGTTCAAGCAGACTAACTGGTTTGCCTTCCCAGTTCATTAAATTTGTATCAAGACCAACTCAATTCATCACCCCATGAAATTGATCAAAACAAGATTCAATCCTTAAATATAATACAGTTTTATCAGGGATAAAACCTGATGAACCTGCATATGCCTATACAGGCCTTGAAAGCCTTAACTCTGGTTCAACCAGTCCAACAATTTGTAAGGCTATAAATAAAGCTGCCTTGTTTAACAGTTGAGTTTTAGTAAGAACATTGTGTATTATGACCTTAGATAAGTAGTATGACCTTAGATAAGTAGTATGACCTTAAATAAGTAGTATCACCTTAGATAAGTAGTATCAACTTAGATAAGTAGTATCACCTTAGATAAGTAGTATGACCTTAGATAAGTAGTATCACCTTAGATAAGTAGTATCACCTTAGATAAGTAGTATCACCTTAGAAAAGTAGTATCACCTTAGATAAGTAGTATCACCTAAGATAAGTAGTATCACCTTAGATAAGTAGTATCACCTTAGATAAGTAGTATCACCTTAGATAAGTAGTATGACCTTAGATAAGTAGTATGACCTTAGATAAGAAGTATCACAGAACTGGATCAAAGGTTGGTTATGCTACTGTTGTTCTAGTATAAGACTGATTGGTAGTCTTGATGTTCTGGGATCAGTGGATACAGTGAAGATACAGCATTATAACATAAATACTTCAAACTTTATTGTTATTATTATTTCTATGTTTCAGAGCTAAAAGAGAGTTTGTCTAGAGTGGGTGCCGACATAAAACAGAAGATTGTGGACTCACTGAAAAGTACCTGGACCACCATTAATGACTTCGCCAAGGCTCACCGCAGTGAACCTACACTTGGAGATTCACTGGAGCAGCAAGTCGATTCTCAGATATCTTCGGTTATGCATGACCTGTCACAGGAGGAAGACGATAAATTATGTAAGTTGCTGGTGAAGATCTTGTTTGGAAGGTGTGTTGTACATTTAAAAACAATGCATGGACCTTTTTATTAACTATTAAATCATAATTTTTATAATGTTGTTTGAAGCACTATCAATTTCCAATTAAAACCGTTATATGTGGCAGATTCTAATTGTACATATGACTATGGTCGTTATCTAGTTTTGCGCTAGAGGATATTACTCTGTAGCTCGAAAGGTGGAGTGGCGGACTGGGGACCTAATGTTTGATCCCCCATCATAGCACACTACTCTCTTTCCAGTTACACAAAGCAATACACCAATTACCTCCCTTTATTGCTTATATAGCCTTTGTAACAATAGACAACTATCTCCCTTTATATCTATATCCTGTTACCTCCCTTTGTAGCTTTATCCTGTTACCTCCCTTTGTAGCTTTATCCTGTTACCTCCCTTCGTAGCTTTATCCTGTTACCTCCCTTTGTAGCTTTATCCTGTTACCTCCCTTTGTAACTTTATCCTGTTACCTCCCTTTGTAGCTATAGCCTTGAACTTCCCTTTGTAACCGAAGCCAATTATCCCCCTTTATAGCTATATCCTGTTACATCCTTTACAGCTTTAGCCTTTTACCCCACTATCTATTGCCTATTACCTCCCTTTGTAACTTAAGCCTTTAACCTCCCTTGGTATCTATAGCCAATATTGCCTTATTCTGTATCTGAAGCCTAATAGCTATACTCTATTATCTCCCTTGGTAGCTTTATCCTATTACCTCCCTTGGTGCCTATGGACTATTATTTCCTGTTGTATTTATAGCCTATTACTTCCCTTTGTAGCTATAGCCTCCAGCCCTGAGGAGGATATCTACATGGGCCAGATGAATGAGGGACGACGTATTGACTACGTTCTACAGGAGCGACCAATAGAGAGCTTTAATGACTATCTGTTTGCCCTGGCAAGTCATGGATGCTACTGGTAAGTCTCAGTATTTAATACCAATTTTTCAGTGGATTATAATGCCATTGATAAATGTTTGTAGCTGGTCCAACTATTTATATATGTGAACTTGCCTATTTATAAATTGCATTGTTTTATCTGTTTCTTTTGTATGTTATTATGCATCAAGATAAGCGATAGACTCGTGAATGTATAACACTTGACCTTTGACCTTGTCTGTTCACTCTTATAGGGAGTCGGAGGATACAGTTTTACTTGTGATACGAGAGTTATATGGCCCCATGGGAATTCTGCCTGAAATGCCAGATTCAAGTGGAAAGCGTCTTTACACTGGTCCGCCACCTACAGGACTCCCACCAACAGGACTCCCAAGAGGGATACAACAAGTGCCCATGATGCCACAGCAACCTGTAGGAGGACCTCCACAACCGTTCTCCCCACAGGTGCCCCTGATGAGTCAGCAGACCAGCGTACCATTAATGACACCTCCATCAGGACCTAATATCAGTCAGGGGCCCCCTATGGGGATAGCTCCACCTCTCCAAGGTTTTATGCGAACAGGACCAAAATAAATTCATCATTCACTCTCAAGGTATTTTCTTCATGTTGATCAAAAATGTTCTGTGAAAAATGATGATCACATGACATTTTTGACTGTAGTGTTTCATTTTATTTCAAATCCTACGAAGCCAGGAAAAGTTAAAACAGATGTAAATTGTTAGTGAATCCATTGAAAGGTACCCAAGCTGTAACTAACTTGACATGCCATATATTTCTTGGTAATTAGCAAAATAGGGACATTCTCTGGGACATTTTGCTCATTACAAAGTATAATCCGACACATATTGCTGTGCGTTTCTAATTTATTAAACTAACTGTTGCATGTGACATACTGTTAGTGTTTCGTCCTTTAAGTGTTTTGTTGAGAACAGTCTTTTTTATGTCAGATGTTTAGGAGATGAAGATATTTTTTTCAATTTTTGGGAATTGGCCCAAAAGCATTAACATGATTGTAGATATCTGATTTGAATGTCGAGTCATTCAAGTGCCAGTCGAGCCATAATACTTCTGTGAAATAGGTTTATAAATAATCACACAATGCCATATGAGAAAAACTAGTCAGGCCTGTAATAATCTTAACATTTTAGTTACATCATATGGGCTAGGAGAGCTGTAAAATGTGTCTTATTAAAGATGAGAAGTCCTTTTTATGTGAACATACGAGTCTCATTATTATCCGTTGATCTGCTTTCTTCTGGTGCATATATACAACATTTAATGGGCTCTGTTTCCGTATAATTAGGAGAGGTGTCACATTTATTTTGTGCAACCCTAGTAATATTTTTGTAAAATTTGGAGTTTTTAGCAACTCAAATATTACGTGAAATTAAATTCTATGTAAAGCATTAGCATGTGTGTGGTTCCTTATTGATTGTTTAATCTTTATGAGGAAGAGAAGTTAAATATTTATGTCAGTATCTGATACATAATAAAATTTATGATAAGCACATGTCCACAATTAAACTCACTCCTGCTTACAAACTTCACACCCAAGTATTATTCTTCCTATATATAGATTCAGTCAAATTTAGGGGCAGATCCTTTTTTTTTTAAGTCACCGGAGCCTTACCTCAAGTGACCTATTGCTATCCGTCTTTGTTCTTGCGTCGTGCGTCGTGTGCCATTCATTAACATTTTATATTTTCAACTTAAGCTGAAATACTGGCGAAGGGATTTCATTAATACTTCATCGGAATGTTACTGACGTCTCCCTGATCAAGTGTTGTTATTTATCGTGTCGATCAGAAATCCAAGCCATTTTGAAAAACTATTTCAAACATAAATTCAAGTTCTGCAGGGCCGATTGAGCTAAAACTTGGTAGAAATGATCGACTCATGGTCCTGACAAAGTGTTGTAATTTTTCAGGTCGATTAGAAATCCAATATGGCCACCACAACAGCCATTTTGAAAAACAGTTTCAAACTTAAAGTCAAGTTCTGCTCGGCCGATTAAACTGAAACTTGGTAGGAATGATCGACTCATGATCCTGACAAAGTGTTGTTATTTTTCGGGTCGATCAAATATCGGATATTGCCGCCACAGACGCCATTTTGAAAGAAAAAAATAATCAAACTTAAAGGCAAGGTTTACTGGGCGTATTTAACTGAAACTTGGTAGGAATCAACTCATGGTCCTGACAAAGTGTTGTTATTTTTCGGGTCGATCAGAAATCCTATATGGCTGCCGTTTTGAAAAAATATTTCAAACTTAAAGTCAAGTTCTACTAGGCCGATTTAACTGATTTAAATCATCATACATAGGTAACATTTTATATACTGGCAATTTGGACCCAGCAATATTCATTAGCCTAGAAGATATAACACTAGCAGAGATTTTTCTCAAAATGTATTTTTAAATCATTAAGTTCGTCCCTCTAGATGACACTGAAAGAATAATGTTTGTTAGTAACAATTGTTTTGGTACACTATGTTATTGTCACAGATGCTGATATCGACCTGTGGTAGGCATGTTTTAATTCAAGAGGAGTAGGACATTGAACAGTGTGACATTGAACAGTGTGACATTGAACAGTCTGACATTGATTTGCCTCCACCTATCACCAAAGTGCTAATACATGTACGTGTTTGGATAGAAGTGTGTGTTCTATGATCTGTTATTGTGTTATATACCCTCAATGTCAGTAAGTATACATATGTTCTATGTATTGATCACATGACTGTCACATGACCACCTCTGTCCTACCTCTGTACATGTTCACAACACCTACTCTTATATCCAATGTAAGGAGGACCTCCTTAGGCCCATGGGAAATGAAGCCAGTGTGATGCTTTTGTTAACAGTCAAATATTATAATAGTATTCCTTGCTCTTTTTTTTTTCAACTTTTGCAAATGCTAAATATAGTTTGGCCATTGCAATACTTAACGTTTATCACCAGTAAAAAGGCATCTAAAACATGTGATTGTACGTCACGTTATGGTATTACTTGTGATATGACCATGAAAGAAGGATTTGTTCTACTGTAGCAGGGGTATGTGGTTATGTACAGGAAGACAATAATTGTATTGTTTATATTAAATTTATATAAAATAATCTTCTTTTGTTGAACAAAAATGTTAACCATTATTAAGCGTATATAAAATGTTCACCTTGCCCAGCCCAATATTCCCAATGATAAATAAAGTGATTTGTCCTTTTCCTTGTATGGTTTCCTGTGTATTTATCGTAACTAACTTTAGTTATCAGTATGAAAGGTGATTTATCTGTAGATATAGCATGTCATTGACAAAGTCACTTTGGCATCAACTGATATAGGTTTATATCATTTAAGATATTTACATGGGGACAAAGCAAGTGTAACTTATTTTATAAAAAAATGAAAAGTGTGCTTTAAGATTAGTAAGATTAGTAAGATTAATTCATTTGTGAATAACATTCACGTGGCTTGCCAATCAGATGTCTGCTTCATCTAGGATATAGTGTGTATCTTCCTCAATATAGACTCAGCTTGTGTCAGACAACTAACATTCTGGCCACAGAGGTTGGCCTACCCTGCCCCCCCCAGATGATCCCCCCCCCCCGATGATGAAAATCTCCTGCCATTGACATCAGATTTCTGTCATGTTGATATATGATATATATATATATATAAGATTAACATACATTTTAGCAATACATAAATGCTCATGTTCATAAAAAGAATTTTACAGGATTCACATTAAGTGGAAATTATTTTTTGTAACAATTATGTAGCATAATACATCCTTACTCATTTACCCCTGCAATTTTATAATGAACTATTCCAACTTTTGAATTGGAGGAGTTCAAAGGTATCTTCAGGGGTGAATGAGCTAAGGAAGGAAATGTTGAAAGAGGTGACTTTTATCAAACTCAGAATGTGTTGTTAGGTACATGTGGTTAATCTATGAATTTAATTCCTCACCAGATATCGCCTGAGACAACTACAGGTTTACACTGTATCAGTCTACAAGTCTGTCAGTGCATCACATTGTCCACTTTATACACAACAAAACAAAGAGTTAAAAGTTCAAAAATGTATTGAGTCTAAATTTAAAGTAACTTGTTCAGGTTATATTAGTTATCTTTTGGCATTCTTAGGGGCTGCTCTCTGTTACTTAATCTAACTACAACATAGTTGGTTACAAACATATCTATCTACAGCAAAAGGAAATTAAAACAACACACTTAACTTAAAAGAAGAGTGGGGCCATCCCCGGCTTGAGCGATCTCAAGCTGGTGACTAAGATAAGTTGTGGGGTGATCCCCAAGGCTTGAGCGATCCCAAGCTGTGGAGCGAGTAGCTAGCAGGCGGCCCTGCAAACAGGCATCGAGCGACCCCGGTGCCTGAATGTTCAAAGTATAAGTAAGAACATGGTTTACAGGGCGATCCCCAACAGGCACTTACACAGTTATACTCCAACTAGCTAAGCACGCCCTATAGTCACCTACCCTAAAACTATGTTAGATTACCAAAAAGCAAACCAGGATTAAGAAATGTACGTGACTTAAAGGGGGTGCTCCCCGGCAGGCACACAAACTGGTTATGATTGCAAAAATAAAAATACAACAACAAGCATATAATGAATTGGGGGTATAATTCCCCGAATTACATGTCCAAATCGAACGAAGGTTACAGATACAAATGTAAATGTGATGTAACAGAGCGAGAGCCCCCAAGAATCCGCAAAATACCTCACATACTGTGTCATCTACCATGGCCAGACTTTGTGTGCAAGTCCCTCTTTAGATGGAAGGGGGGGGGGGTAATACTGGGTTTCCTGCCCCTCACTATTTACGGAGTTATGGTCCATTGTTGATTTTTTCATACCGAAGTTTGTTTCAGAACGTGAGGGCTATAAGTTGCTTTTAATAGTCAGCTTTGTAATATATAAGAAATACCTACAACTATGCTAATATTGATGTTCTAACCAGGAGGCTTAAATAACTTAGGTCTATAGTGGGCTAACTTAGTAAGGAAACACTAGCAACTATTGACTCTAGATTGCAGGCTACATATCATGCTGTTAATTAAAAGCAGCTCTCATTGTAAATCCTCCAAAAAAGAATTTTTTAATTACATGTATTTAACCCTTTCAGCCTATGTAACTTTAGTAGACTCTACCATGCATTGATATGGATTAGTCTATTATGATCTACAATTGTGAAAGGGTTAAGTGGTAGTGAGTGCAAATTTCCTTCAGAAATGAAATAATTGACCTAATTTGTGATAAAAATTTATTTGTGATCCAAATATTTATGTTAGTATTGACATCTTGTGTGAACCAGGTTTTAACCTGTTCATTTCAAAGTCAGGGTTATTGATAACAAGTCCCTATCCTTCATATGGTCACATTTCTCATTCCATTTGTCACATGGTACTTGTGATATAGAATATTTCCAAGATAATGTTCAACTGGCCAGCTACATGTCTTTTTGAATTGTCTATAAAATGTTTTCAGTTTAAAACGGATTTAATTAATGTCACTAAACACTTCTGTAAAGCCAGAATCAGTCTTGGAAGAACATTTAATGATAAACATCAAATGAAACAATTTATGCAACATACTTAAATATTTAGCATATTGTAAATACTGTATTTAACATCGATAAGAAAATGAAAACTCATTCTTTGAACTCATTTCTTTCCACTAAAGTTATTGTTAACCTTTTGACATTTAGGTAGTGGTGTAAGGTTAATTTTAGGCTGAGATATGACACCAACATTGATATGCTTTATGAGAGATTGGTTTCCATTGCAATCATTTATCCCATGGAAACTGCATCAGAGGTTGTGCTGAGCACAGGGGCAAGACAAGTTGATTAATAATTTTAGGGATAGTCTATCAGTTTGTCAGGTCCCTGTGACTTGTCACAAGTATATTTTGCTTTAGAATTTGTAAGAATGAAGTGTGAATGTAACATTTCCTCTGTTATATTTTGTCAAATTTTAAATGTAAATACAGATTCCAATATTTCAAGATGTTTGCATGACTTTTTATTATTTCATTTGTCAATCTCTTCAGAGTAAAGTTTGTGTATGAAAGAAAAGAGAAATAAATTGGTGCTGTGACTGTAATGGTGTTTGTATGTAATTATTTTAAAGCCTGTTTCCTCATCTTTGTGATCCTTAGATAACAGGAAAAATCAGCATCATAAATTAACCCTCACGTTATAACATTTCCTCTAATAATTCACCAGAATGTTCTGTGTTCCACACACTATATATATATATACAATTTAAGTTCCAAACAAAACTATAAGGTTCATGTACCGCCTTAGACTGATCCTAGTTGTCTCAGTTACATCCAAATGTTCTGTAACAACCAGTGATACCTTACGTTTATTGTGACAAAATATCCCCACTGTTAGAGTATATCATATGTTAAACAATTAATACTTTGTATTTGCATAAATCTGTGTGTATGTTGTTGTACCAACAGACAAAGAACCTTAACAAAGAGATCCATATCTGTGTGTATGTTGTACCAACAGACAAAGAACCCTAACAAAGAGATCGATATCTGTGTGTATGTTGTACCAACAGACAAAGAACCCTAACAAAGAGATCCATATCTGTGTGTATGTTGTACCAACAGACAAAGAACCCTAACAAAGAGATCCATATCTGTGTGT